CTCACCTTTTCCTTCTGTCTTACACTTCCAATTCCTGATGCTTCTGTCAGCAGATTTTCAGAGTGGGCTTTTTAAGTGAGACAAAAAGGAGATCCCATGGAATTGCTCCTCATATATTAACACATACAGAGCAAAGAAGGAATTAGTCACCTAAACAAGGAATCTGCTGAGGACCCAGGAATGACTGGCCTTACGTATTTTTTGTTTGCTACTTTCTAGGGCACAGACCAAGTTTAGGAGTGGAATGGGATGAGATGCAGGCTTGATCTTTTCCAGTTTTGTGCTTGTTTTGGTTTTCTAGAATTAAAAAAAACGAACAAACTGGGCCGGCCGAGTGGCTCAGTTGGTTAAGAGCTCACTCAAGAATTTGAGCTCTGAGCAACAGCGGTTCGAGTCCCAGCCCAAGCTGAGCTCCGCTGAGCTGCCAACAGGTGGCAGGATGGCTCAGCTCAAAAAACAAAAACAAAACCAAAAAAAACTATTAATAAAGATAAATTTAAAAAACCTTTTAGAGCTTGCATACTGCAAAGCTGGGTCAGCAGTATGGTAATTGACTATTTTTATTTCTTTATGCTGTTGACCTATCTTCAAAGTGAAATTTCCCATGATTTCAAAAGAATATACATTTCACTGCTTTTTCTTTAGGGTTCAAGCTATATAATTTTAACAACTGAAGCTTGTTTACCTGATTGGGGGTATAGACTAGAGAAAGAAATATGGCCTGAGATATTTTAACCTTTGACCTGAGTACTGCTTGACTATTTATTTAAATGGAGTTGTGAAAATATCCCCTTATTCTTAGATACTCAAGTTTAAACTTTAAATAGATAAAAATATTTCAAATTGAAGAGTGTTAAGTTCAAGTCTAAATCAAGTATCAAATGAGGAGCTGAGTTCTTTGAAATATAGACTCAGATACATTTGTCCTCCTAACTTTTAGTCTTGGACCAGCCAAAATGCTCTAGACATTTAACTTTTACAAGTAAGTTCTGTACTGCACTCTAACGCTCTTGAGCCATTATGGTGACTGTATACCCAAAATCTGCTAAGTTTTTAAATTAACTCTGCTTTAAAAAAAACAACAAAAAACAAACAATTATTGGATCATATGAAAGTGCAAAGTCTCCTATGACCTAAAATTTCGTGATTTTGAATAATAAAGAAAAAGTAACATGTAGCTGCTACTGGGAATATTAAAGGGAGCAGCTTCCAAATAAGAATTAAGATGCTCTGGTTTGGGACACTTTCAGGACTCCCTGCTTTTCCTGATGGGTTATTAATTAGACTTTTCCTCAAAAGTATGTAACATTCTGATCTTGTTATTGAAAGATGTTCAAACACTCGGACTCTGCTAATACACTGTAGTCTAATGTGTTTTAAGCAGGAAATAAAAAATAAAACAGAATAACCAATAACACCACCAATATTAAAGGAATCTTACAAGAGCTGAGACCAACACACCTGTTTCCCACAAATATTAGCCTACCACCTGGAGCAGGTGTTTTTACTGCTTGAGAATCAATACATACTCACTGGTGTATTCTTTGGAGTTGAAAGTTGTCATTCTTTTTGTAAAATTCATATGAATGAAAATATAGTAGGGCTGATTATTTTGATTTCCTTTTCTTCCTCCATTACTCATTCCAACGAGGCTTATATAGGTAACTGATAACTAACATAAATAAATGTTTGTTCACATTTCTGCTGAGTTCTGTTTCAATTGGACATACTTAAATCATTTATAATTCTTAATTCAATTATCTCACCGTAACTTAATCGCATAGTTTCATATTTTAGTAGATAAAGAATAATGAAGAAATAACATGGCTATATAAATACCCAGATCTTGAATAACACCTAGTAGTTTGTGTTTTCTAGTCTACTTATACAGAGAACAGAAATTTTAATTGTATCAAGTAAGCTCGAAGTAGGATGGTCTAATAATAACAATAACTGTGCTAGTTCGGGTGGCTATAACAAAGTACCATAGAATAGGTGGCAACAGCATTTATTTGTCACAGTTCTGGAGGGTGGGAAGTTTAGGGTGAAGATTCTACCAGATTCTGTGTCTGGTGACTTCTAGCTTTCTGGTTCACAGACAGCTCTGTCTTGATGTCGTGTCCTCACATGGTGGAAGCAAGGAGGAGAGAGTTCTCTCGGGTCTCTTTTATAAGGTCACTAATCCCACTCACGAGAGCTCTACCTTCAAGACCTAGCAACTTCTAAAGGCCCCACCTTCTAATACTATCACGTTGGGAGTTAGCATTTCAACTTATGAATTGGGGTGTGGGGTGGTGGTACCCAAACATTCAGCCTGTTATTACAATAATAAATAGCATTTAACCATTGCTTTATTGTCAAGGTAATATTTTAAGTACTTTATATTATCACACATTTAATCTTGCCAATAACTTTATTATTATCGTGATAAGAAAAATGAGCCCAAGAGAGGTTAAGTGATTTGGCAAAGGTAGCTCCACTCATAAACACTGGAGCTGGGAAGCAAACCCAGAAGTCTGGCTCCAGAGTTGGAGCTCTCAACTTGTAAATGTTGAGAAAAGCGGGGCCTGCACTACCCTGTCTGCCACCAAGCCAAGCTGCAGTTCTTTTTGATTCATATTCTGCCGTATCTGGATACACCAGTGTTTTCATCTCTGAAGTGACAACCTAGGAGTCTATAACACCAACTCTTCATCGTCTTTTCTAGCTCTAAAAATCTAAATTCTGTAGTGTTTAAAATGAGCCATGTATCAGCTACCAGTTGGAGAACTGGTTAAATAAATTTTGGGATGGTCACACAGTAAAATTCTAGGCTGGCATTGAAAAGAATCAGGTAGAACACTGTCATGATACAGAATTGTCTATCATAAATCAGAAAAACAATGAGCTGGTTGTATAGCTATGTACCCAATGATCCCATTTTTTGCAAAAACAAGAGAAAGAGAAAGTATATATATACCAGTATGTGCATAAAAAGCGGAAGAACCAAACACCAATAATCTCTAGGAGGTTAGAATACAAAGGGACTTTTACTGTCTCCCTTATATTATACATTTGATTAGCCAAAACAGTTTTTACAAGTATTACTTTAATCATCAGAAAAATCAAATCAAATGAAATGTATATTATGTGTACACATACATAACTGGACTAGAGATAGAAGGAAGGTTTTCCTGGAATACGTTGGGCTAACTTTCAGATTATTGGAGATAGCAAATTCTTTCTTTCTTTAGTTACTGAAATGATTATGTGGCCTCCAGATGCTTTTGTATCCTTTTTAAATTCTTATGTTAGTACTTTGTATGGTTTCTTATGAATAAAAACAAGGTAAAGTTTGGGTTTATTTTATCCCACATTTTCATTAATCATTTGCCTGAATATAGGATTTGAATTTCCTTTTCTGTTGACAGTGACTTTCTCTTGCGCCTTACTGCCCAGGCATATATTGCCAAAGGTTGCTTGATTTTGAGAGGCACACCCCAGTTATATGGCGGTTGTTTTAAGGAATGTACAGCTCTGACTCAGACTCATGGTCCCAGAAGCTTACAAGCAGCTTTGTCTTTCTGTTTCCTTATGTAAATCGAATAATTCAGATAATCAATGGTTTTCATTCTTATTCTCAAATAGCAGTCAGAGTGTAAGGGTACATATCTCATTTAAAAATTTTATTTCTTTTAAAAATATATTTTAAAATGAACTCTTCTCATCTCTGTTATTCTTACATGATGCTTTTCAAAGTCTAACACAAGGAATATCTCTTCCAGTTTTTTCTGAAATACATAAGTGAATTACTGATTAGAATATGGGTAAATAGAGAGTCTACCTCAAAAAACGAGACTGAAACCTTCGTGTTTTCTGTTAATCTAATCTAATATTGCTTCTGGGCTATTTTAATGGATCTATTCAGTTTTCTTGAAGCTAACCATGAATGAGTTTACCCATTGATTTACATATTTCGCAAACATGCTATATATCAAGCATGTTGATACAAAGCTGAATAAAGAATGATTTAGAGTTAAACCAAATTTGTAACGGGAAAGACACATTAAGTACATGTTTTGGCTCTAATGCAACGTAGTAAGTAGTACATTAGCAATATGAACTCAATACTGCCAGAATATGGTGTAGTATGAGCCTACAAGTGGGGAGGAGGAGTTAGGGAAACCCCAGCCTTGAGAAATGATATTGCCTCGTAGACAAAAGTAATGTAGATTTATTTTCTGAGTAAATAAACATTCTAAGTGACTCAAGACATGACTCCATATCATTTCCATCCACTAGTAGAGAAAGATTGGGGTACCCCCTTTCCAGCCCATCCCTTTGGGATTCGAAATAACGCAACTAGAAGTCCCCTTGGGAAATTTGTACAGCTAAAAGTAAAACTCTTCTGTGGTATGAGTTGAATAAAAGATGATTCACTTTGTATCAGGTATGGAAATAGGTTCTTTACAGGTTTTGACCTTCTAGACAGTATTTAATCTATAAATATCAAGTGTTTCAAAGTACAAAACTATGTAGACTGATTCTGTTACTTACCCCTTCTCTTCACTTTGCCATAAAGGCATACAGTTGACCCTTGAACAACACGGGGTTAGGGGCACCAACCCCCCCACACAGTAAAAAGGACACGTATAATTTTGACTCCCCCAAAACTTAACTAATAGCCTACTGTTGACTGGAATACTGATTACATAAGCCATCAATGAATACATATATTGTATGTTTTATGTACTATTCATATACTGTATTCTTACAATAAAGAAATCTAGAGAAAAGAAAATGTAATTAAGAAAATCATAAGGTTCATGTGTGAGTTTTTTAAAATGGTTGCAAATCTCCAAAATTTTTTCCAATATATTTATTGAAAAAAATCCACATATATGTGGACCTGTGCATTTCAAACCCATGTTGTTCAAGGGTCAATGGTATAGTGCCTTTTTTTTTTTGCCAGGTCAAAGAGTTTTATTAGGGTGAGATTAGAGAATGATTTTTCATTTTAGGTGGCTGAAAAGTACATCCAGCTGAAAATCATCAACCATTTAGACTACATGCTTCATTTGAGTTGTGTTTCTGGATGCAAGTCAAGTATGACAACTGTGAGTTTCATAACTTTCTCTAAGTTGATTCAAAAATGTTTTGGGGCCAAAATACTTCTGAGTTCTTTTCTGTCCTCTTTTGGTGAGGCCCTATGGAGGTTATCAAGGTCAAGACTATATTGCTGGGTCTCAGAAAAATGCAGGAAAGATGAGGAGCCATGAGTTTTAGGCTTGCATCATCTCTTCCTTGCCTTTGTTCTCCCAGTCATGACTTCTCACTTCTTATTTAAGTTGACCATCTCATTGAGTTGGTGCTTCTGACAAAGAGAAACTAATAATTTCTATCATGTATTTTGTCAGCTTTAACCATGCCCAGGCTCTTTTGTTGGAGTTATAGTTTTTAGACAATGTAGAATAAGTTATAAAAAGGAAATATGTTATTGAAGAAGGTTGAGTGGACAAGGAGTGGCTACAGAAAGTAGTAGTGAGAGTAATTCCAGTTAGTGGCAATCGGGATTCCACAGTGTTCACTACCGTAGTCTTCCAGGAGATACTCAAACCCAGACTGTACTTTCTACTTTTAGTGATCTTTGTATTTGTGGTACACCTCAGCCCCCAATTATTCAGCTTATTTTTTTAATCCAATCATGGTTCTTATGGTTAAAAACAATGATTTTATTTTATTTATTGTTTTTTTAGCTTAGCCATCCTGCCACCTGTTGGCAGCTCAGCGGCAGCTCAGCTCGGGCTGGGAATTGAACCAGCGACCCTGTTGCTCAGAGCTCACACTCTTGAGCAAGCTCTTAACCAACTGAGCCACTTGGCCGGCCCCAAAAAATGAGTTTATAACCATAACCCTGAGCAGTTTGTGATAGAGCCATATGGGTTGCTTCGGTGAATCAACAAATATTTGATTAAGCACCTCTGATGTGCTAGATACAATACTTATGTTGAAGTAGTTACAGTTCTTTCAAGAAATTGGACAACCTAGAAGAAATGGATAAATTCCTAGAAACATACAATCTACTAAAGCTGAATCATGATGAAATAGAAAATGTGAACACTAACAAGGAGCAATTCAATCAGTAATCAGAAACCTCCAAACAAACAAAAGCACAGGACCAGACATCTTCACTGGTGAACTTGACCAAATAGTCAAAGAAGTAATACCAGTCCTTTTCAAACTCTTCCAAAGTATACAAGGGGGGAACTTATCAAAAAATATTTTACAAGGCCAGCATTACCCTGATACCAAAACCAGATAGGATGCTACAAAGAAAGAAAATCACAGACCAATATCCCTGATGAACATAGATGAAAAAATCCTCAACAGAATATTAGCAAACTCAATTCAACAGTACATGAAAAGGATTATACAGCGTGATCAAGTGGATTTATTCCAGAGATGCAAGGATGTTTCAACATCTGCAAATCAGTCAGTGTGATACACCACATTAACAAAATGAGGATAAAAATTGTATGATTATCTCAATAGATGCAGAAAAAAGCTTTTGACAAAATTCAACATCCATTTATTATACAGACTCTCAATATAGTGTGTATGGAGCAAACATAACATAATAAAGGCCATATATGACAAGCCCACAGCTAACGTCATACTCAATGATGCAAAGCTGAACCATTTTCCTCTGAGATCAGGAACACGACAGGAATGTCCACTGTCACCAATGTTTTTCAACACAGTATTGAAGCCCCAGCCAGAACAATTAGGCAAGAAATAGAAAAGGCATCTAAATTGGAAAGGAAGCAGTAAAACTGTCACACTATTTGTAGGTGATATTATATATAGAAAACCCTAAAGACGCCATTAAAAAAAAACTGTTAGAGCTAATAAATTCAATACAGTTGCATGGCACAAAACCATTTCTTTACACTAATAATGAACTATCAGAAAGAAAAATTAAGCAAACCATCCCTTTTGCAATTGCATCAGAAAGAATAAAATACCTAGGAATAAATTTAACCAAGGAAGTGAAAGATCAGTGTATGGACAACTGCAATGAAAGAAATTGAAGCAGACATACATAAATGGAAAGATATTTTGTGCCTCATGGATTGAAAGAAGTAATGTTAAAATGCCCATACTACCCAAAGTATTATACAGATTCAATGTATAATATAATGTAATCCTTATGAAAATTACAATGGCATTTTTCATAGAAATAGAACAAGTCAATTCTAAAAATGTGTGGAATCACAAAGACCCTGAATAGCCAAAACAATCTTGAGAAAGAAAAACAAAGCTAAAGGCATCACGCTCCCTAATTTCAAACGATATTACAAAGCTATAGTAATTAAAACAATACGATATTGGCATAAAACAGATACATAGATAAATGAAACAGAATAGAGAGCCCAGAAATAAACCCACACATATACAGTCTACTTATGACAAAGGAGCCAAGAATATACAATGAGGAATGGACAGACAATCTCATCAATAAATGGTGTTGGGAAAAATTGACCGCGCATGCCAAAGAATGAAACTGGATCACTGTCTTACAACATATGCAAAAATTAACTCAAAATGGATGAAAGACTTGAAACCATAATTCCTAGAAGAAAACATAGGCCTTAAGCTCCTTGACATAGGTCTTGGCGATGATTTTTTGAATCTGACACCAAAAGCAAAAGCAACAAAAGCAAAAATAAACAAGTGGGACTACATCAAACTAGAAAGAAGCTGCCCAGCAATGGAAACCAACAAAATGAAAAACCAATCTACCGAATGGGAGAAAATAATTGCAAGTCATGTATCTGATAGGAACTAATATCCAAAAATTTTTAAAGAACTCATACAACTCAATAGCAAAACAACCAAAAACAAACCCAATCTGATAAAAAAATGGGCAGATGATCTGAGTAGACATTTTTCCAAAGAAGACTTACAGATGGCCAATAGGTACATGAAAAGATGCTCAACATCATTAATCATCAGGGAAATGCAAATCAAAATTACAGTATTACCCCATACCTATTAGAATGACTATCATAAAAAAAGACAAGACAAAAGTGTTGGCAAGGATGTGGAGAGAAGGGAATGCTTGTGCACTGTTGATGGGAATGTAAATTGGTGAAGCCACTATGGAAAACAGTATGGAGGTTCCTCAAAAACTTAAAAATAGAACTACCATATGATCCATTAATTCCACTTGTGGGCATTTATTCCTAAGAAAATGAAAACACTAATTTTAAAAGATATATGCACCCCCATATTCATTGCATCATTATTTACAAAAGCTAAGATATGAAAATGATCTAAGTGTGCCATCAGTGGATGAATGGGTAAGGAAATCGTGGTGTACATGCAATGGAATATTCAACATAAAAAAAAGAATGAAATACTGCCATTTGCGACAACATGGATGGACCTCAAGGGCATTAAGTGGAATGAAATAAATCAGACAGAGAAAGACAAATACTGTCTGATCTCTCTTATGTGTAGAATCATATATGTATATGATTATATACATATATATATATAATCATATATATATATGAATCTCCAAGCTCATAGATACAGAGAATAGATTGGTGGTTGCAAGAAGTGGAGGGTAGTGGTGGAACAAACAGGTGTATTGTTTTTTGGGTTTTTTAAATTGAATAAATTTTTTGAATATGTGATTTATTACTTTTATTAACATTGTATAATATGTCACTTCAGAAATCTCACATTTTGAGATACCATATCATTTATACTTATACTGCTTTGAGGGCTGTAAGAAATGTGCAAATTGTGAGAAATCCAAAATTCATAGGATTGAAAATAGAGCTATGGTTTTATTGTATAGCTGCTTTGAAAGTCTTGCTTGTTAAGAAAAATCTCAGGGTAAGTTTTTATTCTCTACCCCACTGACCTCTGATTATGTAACAGTGAGGTCTTATTTTAATATATGCAAAATTTGTTAACACCAAAATTCATTGTTTCAGATTTTTGCATAGCAGAGAATGCTTGCATTTTTCTGATAATGTCTTATTGCCCTTGTGTGGTTCCCAGGTGAGCACCGGTCCTCTGAGATTCATTTTATGTACTCTCGGTGATGAATATTTTATCTTTGCCAACACTATCTCTAATTTGTTCTTGAACAATTTTCTTGAGGACCTTCATATTCACTATTATTGTAATTATAAAATCAATTCTAAGACTAAATATGGAGTCATGAGTATGACCTTTCTTTCTTTTTTTTTTTTTTTAAAGATTTTTATTGGGGAATTGGGGGGATGGGAACAGTGCTGGGGAATTGGGAGAAGGGAAACAGACAAGTTGCTGTCCTTTTGTTCTTCAGTCTAGTTGTGGAGGACGTCGCTTCACTGGCCCATGTTGGCACCATCATTGCGCTCTTCCCAGGGCGAGGCAGATCAGTCGCCGGCTTCTGGACGGCCGCTCACTGCGGCTGCTGGCCGCTCACGCTGGCTGCTGGCTACATACGGTAGCCCATGGCAACCCACTGCCACAGGGGCTGCAGCCTACGCCTTCGCAGGCGACTCATGGCAGCCCAGCTCCAGGTCGAGCTGTTGTTCAGCATCTTAGCTGTAGAGGGCAGTGTCACTGGCCCTCATATGTGGGATCCGAACCGGGGCCCTCTGGTGTCCCAGGCCAGTTCTTAACCATCGCGCCACTCGGCCGGCCCAGTATGACCTTTCTTATGGAGAGTAATAGGGAGCTAGCTATAGACGCAGGTAGTCATTTATGGCATTCTGTACAAGGAATAATTTCCACAGATTCCCCAAATAAATGAAGCATAATGTCCTTTTTTAAAATATGTGCCTTTATCTAATCCTCACCCTTCCAACTTCATTCTCTCTACTGTTTTTTAACATGTTAGCTTACTGCAAGCCTTCAGATGTTATTTTGGGAAAGCTGAATGTGTCAACCAAAGACCATAGTTTTTTAATTTTTTATATTTTGCTAACCATAAATATGATTGCTCTTTTTTTTTTTTTGCATGTTCCAAATGAGTAGTTTTTATTGTTGTAACAGTTGCTTCACAATTTTGATGTGATTTGCAAATTAGGAAAGGGAAACTTGGAAGGTTGTA